CCAAATGCCGTTTTAGTTTATTATGAAGTATACTTTCAGCCGCCAACACTTTTCGACAAAAACATTGTGGAAGTTCTACATTCCTTTAATAACGCAGGTAAATCCAAATATTGGTCGTCATATTTCCTATATTTCTTCTTTTTACTTAAATTAACATTGCTGCTCTCGCGTGATTCTTCACCTCGTTTTCTATTCTTTTGAATATAAGTTTCCATTGTTGATAGCAAAAAACTTCGCGTGCGAAATAAAACAAAACAAAAGCTTGACTAAATGACATAACGCGCGACAGTAGAGAACACGGGGAGGGGACCCGACCGACGAAACAGAATACGCCCGGCCCTCACTCGACTCCAGTGTTGCCATTGTCCGGATAATTATCCGATTTTCGGATAATTTCGTGGACCATCTGTTAATTTTCGGATTGAATAATTTTTTGAATAATTTCGGATAATTCAAGGCTCTATCGACTTGATGTTATATTTTTTATTTGATTATTTATTTTTACGCACAACAGGCCGTTACGGCCTAGGGCATTTTTTTATACACATAATCCTAATATTAACTAATTACAATTATTTTAAACAAAACTTTAACTTAAATATGTATATACAACATTCTTAACTACTCTGAAGGACCTGGCGGACAATATTTCTCCATTCGCTTCTATTTTGTGCTTTTCTTTTTCAGTCCCTCACCTTCACGTGTTTAAGGTCTTCCTCTACTTTACTAATCCACCTCGTTCTGGATCTACCTTTTCTTTTGGGGCCCATTATTTTTCTGGTTATTACTAGTTTGGGCATTCTGTTTGCTGCCATTCTTTCCACATGTCCCAACCTTCTGATTCTTTGTGACTTGACGAACTTGGTAATGGTAGGTTCTTTGTATAAAGCCATTAATTCATTGTTGGTTCTTTTCTCCCAACCGTCTTCTGTCTTCCGTCATCCGAATATGCGTCTCAATATTTTCCTTTCCCATCTTTTCAGAGTATCTTCTTCCTTCTTATTTAATATCCATGTCTCACCGGCATATGTTACTGTGGGTCGAATTACTGTTTTATATATTCTGAGTTTACCTTGTCTAGAAACGTATTTTGAGTTCAGTAGGGCTCATAAATCACCTAATTTTTTACTCCCTTTTGCTATTCTGGCTTCGAGCTCCCATTTCTCTTTTCCATTTTCATCGAAAACTACACCCAAGTATTCAAATTTGTCCACCCTTTTAAAACTATAGCTTTTACCACTTACAGACCTCAAACTAAAGCCTTATTTTTCCCTTCCGTCCCTCCCATGATCATATATTTGGTTTTGTCTTCATTTAGTTCCAATCCGATTTTCTGTGCTTCTTCGATGATTTTCTTCACAACTTTTCTTAATTTCTTTCTCGGTTTTTGCTAGGATCGGTAAATCGTCAGCAAATGCCAAGCACTGGTGCTCGTTTTTTCATGATCGTTTCTTCCACCTTCATGCTGCATTTTCTGATTACAGTTTTTAACACTAAGTTGAATAGTGTAGTGGATAAAGGATCTCCCTGTCTTAAGCCATTTGCAACCGTAAATTGATCTGATATGTAACCCTGCCAAGCTATTTCACACTTAGAGTTATTTAATTTCATTTTTTACTAGCCGGATCAGTTTTCTTTGGTATACCCAAATGTTCCATTGCTCGATACATTTTGACTCTATCGACTCTACCATATGCTTGTCTAAAATCCACAAACAAAACATGCAGGGGAACTTTACCTTCATAACAAGTCGTTTGTATCTCCTTTAATGAGATGATTTGGTCTACAGTAGATCTGTCCTTTCTAAAGCCGGCCTGATATTCATGTAGGATTCTTTCCGTGTAGCAATTTAGTTTGTTTCTCAATATTCTTTCCAAGATTTTGTATACCGTGTCTAGTAAGGCTATACCCCTATAGTTGTCACACTTCAGTTTGTCTCTTTTTTTATGCGGAGGGCATTCCCATACTTGCACTAGTAGCTGATATATTTTTCTTTGTAGTTGTTCTCCACCAAACTTGATCATTTCTTCTACATGTCATTTTTTACCAGGACTTCTGTTATTTTTCATTTCTTGTACTGCTGTCACCACCTCCTCCTCTGTAGGCTACCTCTCAACTATCGCATCTTCTCCAACCGTCCAGTTGTCTACTGCTTCGTGGTCCACCTCACCATTTAATAATTCTTCAAAATGTTTTTTCCATTCCGTCATTATTTCTGCCGGATCGCTAATTAAATTTCCGTCTTTACCTTTCATATAACTACAGTGGCTTTGGTTTTTCCCATCTTTTTAACTGCTTGATAGAACGACCTCACCTCTTTGTTTTTAAACTTCTCTTCTACCTCTTTTAATTTCAACTCATTGTGGTATCTCTTGTTCCTTCTACACAGAGCTTTCAATCTTCCTCCGAATTATTTTATATTCTTGTTTTTTACACTCTCTATTATCTGTTAATATTTGTTGTCTGATCTTCTTCTTTTCCTTTGCTATCGCCTGACACTCTTCGTCAAACCAATCTTTGTTTGTACTTCTGTTGGAATCGCTCTTAACTATTTTCTTGCTAGCTTCTCCTACGGCAGATTTAATTTGTTAACAGGCTTGATCTGGTCTGTAAATTTTGGTCACATTGTTGTTAGTATTTTATTTATTTCTTCTTCATATTTATTTTTTATTTCTACTTCCTTAAGTTTTTCAATGTTGTACTTTCTCTTCGTTTTATGGTTCGATTTCTCTTTTTCTTCCAGCCTTCTCCCACATGTGACTTTAACGAGGTAATGGTTCAAGTCGATTTCAGCTCCTCTCATACTTCTTACCTTCTGAACGATATTCATATATTTACTTTCAATCATAACATGATCTATTTGATTCACCGTCCTTCCATTTGGGAGACCCACGTACCTTTGTATATCTCTTTTTGTTTTAGTTGTGTGCTTCTCGCCACCATATTTTTCTCCATGGCAAATCCAATAAGTCTTTGACCATTATCGTTTGTTACTTCGTGTTTACTATAGTTACCAGTTACTGCGGTGTACAGAGGTTTTTTTTCCGCTTTAGCATTACAATCACCCATTATTATTTTTACATCACGTTTAGGTAGGCGCTCGTATTCATCATTTAGCTGTTCATAGTAAAGAAATTTTATTTCGTCGTCCTTGTCTTCTGACGGTGCATAAATATTGATTATACTCCAATTCCTTTTCTTACTTTTAATTCGTATTGAACACATTCTATCAGAGATAGGATTAAAAGCTATCACTTTGTCTTTGATACGTTCAGCTACTAAAAAACCAGTTCCAGCATTCTATCTTTACCTCCACTTTTGAAGAGCACCATATCTTCTATATCAGTTATTTCCGATCCTAATTGTTTTGTCTCTTGAAGAGCCATTAAATCGATTTTATACTTCCTTGCCTCATTCATTAGTTCTTTTAGGGCACCTTCATAAAAAGTTCATCTGACATTTCATGTAGCTAAATTTATCTTGTCATTTTTCGGCTTTTCCTTTGTATTACTGTCTTGTTTTGTTTCGTTTTCATAGTTCGTAATCTTTTTCTTCGCATTGTTCGTCTTCATTTCTTTCTTTTTCATGCTGGTGCTTAGTTTTTTGCTTTGGTCTCTACCACCAACGTTTGGTTCATGCCATCCCAGAAATATATTTTCTTATATCCTACTTTCACTTTTCTCCCTTCCTTTCTTAGTTCTTACGATTTCTGTTTGACATATTTCTATACAATTCTATCCTTCTTTGACAGGTCATCATTGGTATAAACTAGACTTTTTCTTCGGTTTCTTAATTTGATTTTGTTTCTCATGACTTTTCTTTTGTCCTCTTCCTTTTCAAGCTCAACCAGACAGACTTTTTCTCCCAGCTTCACAACCTTCTCGATTTGAACATCGACTGCTAATTCTATCTGCATAAATTTTTTTATTTCATGTTTTAGAGTCTCTGGGACATTTGTATCTATGTTCAGGCCTTGTATAACTATATTTTTACGCCTTTTTACATTTTCCAAACTTTCAAGCCGTTCTTCTATTTGAAAAACTACCTTTTTTAGTTTTGTGTTTTCCTCTCTTAATGTTAAATTATCTTGTCTGAACTGTCTTATTTCTTCTCTATATTCTTTTGGTTCTCTACGAATTCCACTGAATTCTCTTGATTTTTCTTCTATCTTTATACTCACTCCTGTCGTTATTTCCATAATTTTTGTACATTTTCTTCCATTTTCTCCTTTTTGTTTATTGGAGATCTCCCTATTTTGTGACTTTTGGTGAAAGCACGTTGTAACTCTTCCTCTTGATCTCCTTTTCTTTTCTTGTCGTTTTCGTCCGTTGCTTTCGAAATCGAAATTCGAAAACGATATTTGTCCTTATCTTCACTGCTCAGTAAAAATATTTTGTTTCACCGCGATAAAGGTCTCGTCCGGATCGTCTCCTCTGAAGCTTAACCCTTCTCAGTGTAACGCTTAATTTATTTTCTTTATTTATGTTAATAATCGTATTGAGCAGTTATCGTTACTTCACTTCTCTGTAGACTTGGCAACACCGCCTCCCAATCAATTATAATAAGGTTCAACCAAGTTCCTCCCAATATTGGTGACGTTTTTATTGCTTATGTGTTTATTCTTACCTGGTATTTTTGCCAATTTCGAACACACTTTTAATGTTTTGATTACTATTTTTCACTATGTGCTAAGATTACTTACGTAACTTTCTAATTTATACTTTAGTTATAATTGATTTACTCTGTACTTCGCGAAAAATCGGGTTTAATATACGAGCAAATACAATTTAATAATTAAAAAAGCGTTGCGTTGCCAGTCCTTTTTTTTATTTGATTCATTTAATAATACTAGGGCTACGCAGCGACGCCCCAGGGCGTCGCGACGTACAGTTTAGGAAGGCCTGGGTTATAAGTATTCTTGTCTGTTACAGAGTGTTTTTCAAATTAATCAAAAAACGGGACTGAAGTATAATTTTTAATATAATTTTTTTTATTTCTAGTAACAAAAACTGAATATGTTTATGAATCGGCCCCAGAAGATGAGGAACCGGCTAAGACAGTTAAAAATGAGCCGTTAGAAAAGCCTAAAGTGGAAAAGAAAAATAGTGCGTCTTCGGAAAATGAAGTATCCCCTCCGAAAGGCGGAAAGGGTAAAAAGGGCAAGAAAAATAATATGCAAAACCAACCTACTCTAATGAACTTTTTTAAGAAGAAATAATGAGTTGTTAAAAAATATTAAGTATTTTTAAACTGTATTTTACTTTAAATTTTATAAATAATACAAGAAATCATAGACTAGTTTTATTTAAACATAGCTTTCTTATCGCAGGCATCCGTAGCGGTGAATCGCGCACCGGCATGAACAAAATAAAAGGGACTGAAACGATAAAATGTAACGATCGCGCGACCATACACTACGTGGAGTGACCATACAGTATCATGCGTGTTTTTTTTTACAAAATTAAATTAAAATAAATCTAATTAATGGAACTGAATTAAATCAAAAACCATCGCGCCGTGCGTAGACGATAAGAAAGCTATACTTTGGCATGTGTGGCCCGAGGCGCCACATCCCGTTTTTTTATTATAGGTTCTGTAAAAGAAGATTTGTTAAAATTATGAAACTCAGCATAATTATTATAAAACTAAGAAGAGACTTTTTAGATCATATTTTGTAAATAAATTTAATTATTAAATAAATTCTTCAAATAAAATAGATCTGCCTTTTTTTTATCGTAATGTACCTAGATGTGATATGCACATTTCAAATTCAAAATAGTGAAGATTTCAAAGGGATCGATTGGCCTTAGACTTTTTCACGCTGCAACCTGAAAGATCTTTTGTCTATAAGCTACATCTATATCAGTCCAAAAGAGTTCTAATAAAGTCTTGTATATGTTTCTTCTTCTTTCTTTTGTGTAGACATGACATTTTTCTACGTGGCTCCAGCAAGTTGTCGTTACATCGTTTTCGTGGTCTTCCTACTAATCGTCTTCCTATTGGGAAACCGTCTCTCGCCGTCTTTACTACTCTATTTGTTGTCATTCGGCTTATATGATTGTTCCATTATCTTTCTTACCTAGTTCTCTTGTTTTCCATCTTGCATATCCGTCGTATATATGTACTTCTAGCGCTGTCCAATAGTGTCTTACCCTTAGACCATAAAAACTGATAGACGCGCCGTAATGCTATTCTCTCGTCTCGAGGAGTGAAGCCAACATAAAACGATTCACACAGCTGTGGGTGACGTCAGTTTGCGGCAGAAACGGTAAAGATTAGAAGTGTTTATACGCGTTGTAAACTTTTTAAAGTGTTTCAATTTAAAAATTTTCCAATACATTAATATTTTAATTATGGTGGCATCTTGCAGTGCATTTAATTGTACGCAGCGACAAAAAAAGGGACATATATCATTTCATGGGTAAGTAAATTCACAAATTAAACTTGAAAAACATACCAGAAATTTAGCACCTATTATTTTACTTTTTCCTCCCAAAGTGTTTATAATAAATACATATGAGATAGAGATTCTTATATATAATTTTCATTTTATAATTATGTTGAAAACTAAAGGATTAAGTAAATAAATTGTTTTAGATTTCCTAAAGATTCATCATTGCAAAAAAAATGGATTATAGCGATGCGCCGTGAAAATTTTAAACCAACAAAGAGTTCTAAAATTTGCTCCAAATATTTCACAGCGGATTCGTATATTACTAGCGGTTGGAGTTCAAAAAAACAACTAAAAAAAGATGCTGTACATAGCATTTTCGATTTTCCAAACCGTTTAGTTAAGCAAGTTACAACTAGAAAATTTACAAAAAAAAAGAGAAACTGTTTCAGTCAAACCAACAAGATCTAAAAGAGAAAATATAAATATAACGAGTGAATCTACCACCATAAAGACTCCAGTAAAAATTTCAGACGAAAGTACCTTAGAACCTCCCTTGAAAAAGCGAAGACATTATCTTGGTGACTTTGAACAAGGATCATCTAAAAGAGACGACCAGGGGTATAAAGAGTAGTAAACAAATTAATTCAAAAGAAAAACAAACAAATCAAAATGTTACAACAACGAAATAGAAGGCTTATTAAAAAAGTAAATGCCTTAAAATCTTTATTAGAACATATTAAAGAAAAACAGATGATCGATGAAGATTCCTCTCTACTACTTTCGGTAAGGAAAATTAATAATACTTCTTATTAGTGATCTGTTTAGTTTTGGCATGTATAACAGTTTATTTTATATTGTTTGTAATTAGTCGATCAAGTTTTGATTATTGCTTTTTATTTTATTAGGATACTGTGCATGCTTATGCAAAAACTATCTTAAGAAGCTACTTAAATCTAAGAGCACTAAAACATATCCACCGGAGTTAAAAAGCTTTGCTCTCACTCTTAATTTCGATTTACCAAAAGCTTACTTGTAAGCTGATGTCACAATTACCAGTCTAATGTTTGATGGTGCAGCATCAAATATTAGCATGTTTAAACAACTTGGAGTTGATTTATCGATTAATTCCAATAAAGTATATTTTCTACATCCAGCAACAAATCAACCAATATAAATGTTTGACCCTCCACATATGTTGAAACTTATTCGCAATACTTTAGGTCATTACAAAATTTTTTTTGACGGGAATAATAAAGCGATTAAATGGGAATATTTGCAAAAATTAGTAGACATTCAAGAAAAGAAAGGCCTTCATCTTTCAACTAGGATAACGCGAAGGCATTTAAATCGGTATAAGGAAAAAAGTGAAATTAGCTGCCCAAACGTTCAGCCAAAAAGTTGCTAAGGCAATACATTATTTGAGAAATAAAAGCTCAAAAGAATTTGTACATAGCGAAGCTACTCAAAATTTCATTGAACATATCAATGATATTTTTGATATTTTAAATAGCCGAAATTTATTGGCAAAACACCTAAAATCTAGTTTACAGCATTATAATAAACAAGCGATTTTTCAAAAAACTGAAGAATTTATAAAATATCTTAGTTCACTTAAGTGAACTAGACGAGTTTTATTGGTATGATCATTAGTTTAAAATCACTAATGGGAATTTGGAAAAATTACGTGGTTATGGATGGAGGCCTGAAGTATCTTTCGGCCTATATTCTTTCTCAAGATTACTTAGAAGTTTTCATTAGTTCTATTAGGAGTCATGGAGGTTACAACAACAACCCAACGGCAAAACAACATTGTCATCTTATGTTTGTGATGTTGTTGACTATATCGCTGGGTTTGTCGTTAAGAAAACATTAGATTGTGACATATGTTTGTGTGCAATTGAATGTGATAATTTACAATCTCCATTCATAAGACACAAAAATTATAGCATATCAAATAATTTTTTAATTCAACCTTCTAAAGACGTCATTCTTTTTGTTCTGTCTGTGTCAGGTCGTGTTTCTGCTGCGTATGTCATTATTGGTCTAATGACTGTTTTATAAATTTTACCTTTCATTTCCGATATTTTTATTTCTCCATATTGTTTCATTCAGGATGACCTGCGGCTCTGTTTGCTCTATTCACTTGATGTTTCACTTCTTTCTCGAGCTTTCCGTAGCTAGATAATGTGATGCTTAGATATTTAAACTCTATAACTAGTTATATTATTTGACCATCCAGTTTCAATTTATATCTTAGTAGATTAATTTGATGTTATAACCATGCATTTTGGCTTTTTTGAGGAAATTAACATGTTAAATATTTTGGCGATTATATTAAATTGGTCTACGTTCTAAATCATCTTCATTATTCTGGCTTTACAACCCTACGTGGGTCCTAGCCTCCTCAAGAATTTCTCTCCAGTCGTCCCTATCCATCGCCTTTCTCCGCCAAGCATGTATTCCCATATTTGTCATGCCTTCATCAATGTAATCAAGGAACCTTGTTCTAGGTCTTCCTCTTCTTTTCTGATCAATGAGTCTATCAAGGAGCGATTTTCTAACTGGGTCATTTTGTTCCATCCGCATTACATGCCCTATCCACCTCAGACGTCATATCTTAATATGTTTTACAATATCAGGTTCCTGGTATATTCTATAAAGATCGAAGTTGTATCGTCTTCTCCACACTCAATTGCCATTCACTGCTCCATAAATTCGCCATAGTACTTTTCTTTCGAAACATCCTAACATGTGTTCATTATTTTTTGTTAGAGTCCAGGTCTCTGAACCATATGTTAGGACTAAGCGTATTTTTGTTTTGTAGAGTTTTATTTTTGTATTTATCAATATAATTGTGGATTTAAGGAGGATATTTAGCTCAAAATAGCATCTGTTGGCAGTGCAAATTCTGCGTTAGTATTATTTTCAGCGCTCCCAGGTATACAAATTTGGTTTCAATGACGTCGTTTTCTATAACAAGTGGTCGTAGTATTTGTGGTTGCGTTTTTATTTTCGTATACTTCGTTTTGTTGATATTTATTATTAAACCCATTTTTGAAGCTGATTCTTTTAATGCTACATACGCCTCTCGTACAGCGTTTTCCGTTCTCCCAGCAATATTGATATAATCAACATAGGCCAGGGTTTGCAGTGATCTGTTATATATTGAACCAGTGGTTGTGATTTATGACATACGTTTTACTTTTTCCAGAGCCAGATTGAACAGTACACAGGAGAGAGGGTCTCCCTGGCGTTCCATTGCTTTGAACATTTCTCTTCAATTCACACAGTCATAAGCTGCTTTGTAGTCTATAAATATGGGATGAGTATCAATGCCATATTCCAGTGTTTTTTTCAAAATTTGTTTTAGGATTGCAATCTGATGAATTGTCGATTTACCACCTCTGAAACCAGCCTGGTATTTTCCTACTATCTGTTCTGCATATAGTGCCATACGATTACATAGTACTGTGGAAGATATTTCATACCCTGCATTTAGAAGCGTAATTCCTCTGTGGTTAGAGCATTCAAAAATATCTCCTTTTTTGTGTATGGTGCACAAGTATTCCAATCATTGGGGAGGAATTTCTATGTCCATATATATTCATATTTCTTTTATGAGCTGCTGTAATGCCATTATGGTATCGTGGCCACCTTCTTTATATAGTTCCGCTGGGAGATTATCTATTCCAGGTGATTTGTTTCTGGTTAGTTTTTTACTGCATCTTTAATTTCAAAAATCGTTGGTGGTTCTTCTTTCCTCTCGTCTGTTCCCCGTACTTCATCTCGTTCGTCTTTCAGGTTCTGTATTAAGTGCCTGTTTAGAGTTAAAGTATTTTACCAATCTATTCAATACATCTTTCTTTGTTGATAATAGTTCGCCATTCTGACTTCTGCATTAACTTGTGATTGCCTTGAATTCTTTTCTGTTGATGTTAACCTTATTATAGAATGCTCTGAATTCTTTATCTCAGTTGAGGTTTTCTATATATTTAAGTTCCTTATTTAATTATTCCAATATTTCAATCATTGGGGGGATCTCTGTGTTCATATTTCTTTAATAAGCTCCTGTAATTCCATTATGGTATCATATCCACCTTCTTTGTATAGTTCAGCTGTGATATTATCTATTCCGGGTGATTTGTTTCTGGCTAGTTTTTTAACTGCATCTTTAACTTCAAGGATCGTTGGTGGTTTTTCTTTCCTCTCGTCTATTCTCCTTACATCATCTCGTAATTTTTCGTATTCGTCTTCCAGGTTTTCTTCTTCCTCTACATTAAGGGCCCGGTTAAGTATTCCACCCATCCATTCAATACATCTTTCCTTGTTGTTAATAGGTTGCCATTCTGACTTCTGCATTGTCTTGTGGCTGCCTTGAATTTTTTTCTGTTGTTCGCCATTTAGGTGGTTTGGTTTTTTTCTTTTGTATATCCCCTTTTCTTCTCTTTGTTTGGTAATTCTCTACAGTTGTTCTAGTTCGTCGGGTAAGCATCTTTCTGTAGGCTTCATTTTTTCTTTTGTTGCATTCTTGCAATCATCGTCAAACCAATGATTTCTACGGGCACACATTTCTGTTCCATTTTTCAGACACATTTCCTTTCCTCTTTCGCTGCTGCTTCAATGTATTCCTTTATTCTGGTCCAGTAGGAGTCCATTCTTTATTTACATTTTGATTCCTTAGCCTGTTGGTGATGTTCTCCGAGTACCATTCTGGGATTGTCGCTTCTCTCAGCTTTTGGACATTTCATTTTTTTGTATCCATTTTATTTTCTTTACTAGTAGTTGAAATTCTATCCCTCAATGTTGAGATCACTAGGTAATGATCTGAGGCTATGTTTTCGCCTCTATAACTTCTGCAGTTTATTACATCTGTTCCATGCCTTGAATCTATCAAGATGTGACCAATCTGACTCGTTGTTCTTCCATCAGGAGAGGTCCAGGTTACCATGTTCTTGTGTTCAAAATAGGTGCTAGTGACTGTCATGTTGAGTGCTGCTGCTAAGTTTATAATATATCAATATCAATATTTATTTATGTTAATACATGAGTATTCAGCTCATCAACTCTTCTAGATACAGTGTGATGGGAAACTGAAACACATTCAAAATTTTTGGGCATCTTTTATCTCCAAAGGATCGTGCCATTTTAACAGCATACTGCTTGATCATTTCTCTATCTCTAAATGCTTTTTTACTTTTGAAAAGCTGTAAACATACTTGATATAATACTGCTAAGCTTAAAGATTGAACAGCAGTCGGTTTTGTAAATAGAGAATTTTTGTTTATTCAATTTAGCTTCAAGTTCCTTTACAAGCATATTGCGAGCTTCACCTTGATATTTGTCGTATTTTGTTTTGTGCTGGGTTTCATAATGCCTACTAATATTGTATTTTTTTGATACTGCAAGTACTTGACAACAAATAATGCACTGAGGTTTGCCTTTTAATTAGATGAAAAAATATTGATTTTCTCTGAAACATATGATTATCTTCAAAAATTTTGCAGTTTTTGGCACTACTCATTTTGAATTTAACATTCAATTTATTTGCCACTATTAATTCAACACGACATGTGCAGCTGACTTAAGCTAACTGTCCGCTCATCAGGAGTGTTTGTTCAAGTTTAACTACTTTCTTAAGATTACGGAAAGTTAGGCAGGGTTGGAACAGGTAAAAGTTATCAATGGTAATATTTTTGAAATGTGTTTGTGGGGCCGCAGTTTAACGAGCCTTGGGCTGCATGCATGAGGTTGGACCATACTGCTCTAGTACATTTATAGTGTGTTTCAAAAATATATAATTCAATAAAAATATTACTATACTAAACAATTTATTCACAAAACATTATAATTACATTAATATTATTCCTACAATTTTATTCCTTCATACAATCTAGGAGCTACAGGAGTACCTAGACTTTGTACTATTTCTACAGTTGGTTTTTCATTTTCTTCTGCAACTCTATAACTGTGTTGTAAACTGGTTTGATTGTAAAATATATTTAACTTTGGATCTTCTGTAACATTTTCTCCTTTAGACTTTGCTATTCTTTTTATTATTTCTTTAAGGAGTGGAGGGAAGTCCATAGTTTTAGGGAGAATCTTTTGATACTTATATGCTGATGTTTTACAATATTCTTCCTCTTCATCCTTTGGTAATAATCTATAATCTGTTTTATAACTGATACCTTCGATAAGAACAGGTTCTGGAAAAGTTTTCCCTCTAAATGTGTCTTCTACCCAAACTTTAATTTTTCTAGTGTTCTAAAAATTAATAATTTTATTAGTAAAAACTACGAAATTTTTGAAACTAAACATTTTAGTGTAAATTAATAACAGCAAAAAAATGCTTTTTATATTTGGCACAGTAAAAATACATTATTGGACAAATAAATTGGAGAGATAAATTTATATTTTTGCACATTTTTAATAATTTTAAAAATAAAATACATCAAATCTACAGACATTTGTTTATTGTATAAATTTATACAGAATACTGCTAAATACTCCAAATTTGTAACTTCAGTAAGATTTCGCTATTAAAATCGAAAATTAAGACAACTTTATACAAATGAATGTGTACTAAGAAACCAATCTTCCTAAAGTTTTGACTAATTTGTAATACTCTGAAATCAGCAAAATAGTCGTTATCCAAGACAGTTAAGGGTTAATACCATTAAATAAGATTTGTAACTTACATCCATTGATGGTTTTTCAGGATTCTGTAAAGTCTCAACTTTTAGAACTTTCATATAAGACTTCTCTGGATATCTTTCTAATTTACTGCGGATTATAATTCGTCCAATGCCATAATTTTTTAAGTTCCCTAATATTTCCCACAAAGATTTTCCCTTAAAATCTGTGGTTCTACCTATAAATTTATAAGGCATTTTAATTCTCTAATATTAGCTCTATTTATTTCTATTTGCATTTGCAATGAAAAATTGGGGTTATGTTTAGATTTTTTTACTTGTCAAACCACAGGATATATTCGTATTCTGTGCTAAAACATCTACATCTATTATTACTGCTGTTTTAAGCTTGGTAACCACTTTAAAATTTATTAAATGTCTATTATATATAATTTATGATTTTTTTATTATAACTGTAAAATATAAAGGCAAAAGTATAGAGAAAGTGCCAATGAATTTGGCATTAAAGTCATGTCAAATTTGTGTTTGCGGTATTGCCATGTCCTTATCATGTGTATGTTTTATGCCTCAAATATGCTTTGAAACAGTACATTTTGATTATATTATTTTATAAATTCGGGTATTTTTTAAAGATTTTTAAATTTGTATGAAACACGAACGAATGAATATTTGTTTCTTTTGATGTTAGTTGCAATAACATTTTTTTAAAATACACTTCCTAATCATGATACTAAGACTTCCAAGATAAACCCACTTCGCAATCGAATTTTGTACATCGCCGCGCATGACGTCAATTGGTGATAAAAGTCACTTTTATCACCAACCTTTTATCATCACAGTCGGTAAAACATATATGGAAAGAAAGGGGTTTTTATTTAAATATTTAGAATATTAAGGGATGTTAGGTAAAATATCTGCAATTAAATCTTAAAAATATGTTATATATACATCTCTGTTAGCCTAGCAATGTAAACTAAAATTATATAAAAAAGTAGGAACTAAACATCCTTTTGCAAATGGAAATTTATATACAATGAATTGATTTATTAAAATAAAAATTTAATACAACTGATAAAATAAGATACACTGTAATAATTTACAAGTTTATTTAACAATTTATTTTACAATTTTTAATATTTTCTTCTTTTTAACTTTGGATGTTTCTTTAATATATCTATTCAATTTTCTAATTTTAAAATATAATTTACACCTTTACTAACATTACATCTGAACACAGCTAAATCCATTAGCGATTTTAAATAATTCTTGGTTAATTTTAATGACCCTTTGTTAAAACTGTTAAAAATATGGTCCAGTTCATTACATTTAATTAGAAAATCTGGATATGGTTTAAGTAAACCTCCTTCGGAAAGATGGTTTACCCAGTAAACCGATGTCAACGTACAAGATAAACGATAAAACAAAACTAAATCTCAAGGTTAGTAGATATTTAAGTAGATACTTAAATATCTACTAACCTTGACTAAATCTGACAAAACTCCATACAACACAGAACATTTCTGGTGACATTTGTCGCCAAGCGACGTCACACGACTGATCGCGTGCGCGTGGGTTTATCTGTAGTTTATAGTATCATGCTTCCTAATTACAATCCGTAACTTTCTGTTCAAGTCAGAGATATTATACAAAGTTTAATATATTTAAATATTTTTTATTAGTTTGATTTCTTTTATTTAAGCAGTTTAACTTCTCACAGAGCCTTACGTAGTGACGAACCCAAAACAGAAGAAATCCACCTCTTTTCAACCTTTTTCCAACTGGTCTTTTATGCTTGAGGAAGCTGACGAGACGTCAACTGCATTGTAGTTGCTCTGTGGCAGACGATTTTTCATTGGTGAAAGAAAACAAAATATGAATCGGAACTGATCGTTAAGTAAAGAAGGAAGTGATCAAGGTGATTTTAATTCGGGAATCGGCTGTCGGTAGGAACTGAGGTGGGTTAAGTGTTAAGTGAAAAATTTTATTTCGCGATAATTTCGTTAAATAGAACAAATTTTAAATTAAAAACACATTCGATACCTTTATTCTAAAATAAACTCATTGATATTTTAGTCGCGGAATCCATCTTTCCTTGGAATTGATTAAAAATAAGTTCTCCAATAATTTAATTTTTCCAAATTAAACCCAAAAATTTTCAACCCCAAAATTTACTAGCCCTTATTTATATTCGGTTCATTAAAAATTAAGTGCTTCCTGTTGTCTAGTGTACCTATTTTACTAACAGTTCCGAAGTTTTGAAAATCTGAAAAATGACGACCCCAGTTAAAAAAGTACCTATTCATCTGCAAGTGAGTACAATTTTAACAATACCACTCCTGTTTATTTGTTGCTGTAATAATACTTTTAGATAATTGTTTAAACATGTAAACTTGAATGCCGGTAATCGATACTATTCTAGGTTTGTGCCAGATACATAATTTTCTCAATATCTCATGTTATTGACTATTAAAACTAATAAATAATAAATTGAACTATCAAATATACTGCAACTAAGATTAGTTCATTCAAGAAATAAACAAAATAGATCGAATTTGTTTTTATTTTTAAAACACTTTTTGAAATAGATTGTGTCAATGTACCAGCTTATTTTTAAAGTTAAATTTATTTTCTCAGTACTCTAAAAATAACTCTCAGCATGGGGGTGAGTTTATACAAATTATAGTCTAAACTAAATTTTGTTTTCATTTTAGGAATATTGCCTTAAAATTCAAGTTCGATAATTTATTGGCCTAGCATAAGTAATTATAAACTTAGATGTTTCTATTTTAATTATATATTATTATGGTTACAATAATACAACCTCAATTTACTGTGAATTTTAATTTATGGCTCTATTTTCTCATTTCTAACATAAACTTATTTTTGCCTTTTATTTTTTTTGTTTTTAGATTTTCTCCTTCCAATTATTAAGTTTTCAATAATATTACTTAGATATTCTTCAATATCTTCCTTAGCCTAATTTATTTGTTTGTTTCTCTCAAGAACTATTTCTAAATAAGTCCTTCTGCAATGTTTTTCCCAGCTGAAATTGATATATCGAATAAATAAACTGATTTTCTTCATTCGAACCAAACTTTTATGTTAAGTAATTACTTTTTATAGAATATTTAAATAATTTTACAGTTTTAACAACTTTTCGATAAACCAAAAATTAATATTTATGACAATAATTGTAATTAAAATTAGTCTATTAAAAGTGATAAGTTAATAGTGAATTAGTCTAGCATGTAATTAAAAGATCTATGTGAAAGGTGCAATAGAAATTTGTTAAAATATTGAGTCTGAGAAAGCAATTAAATTTGAAACATTGGTATATATTAGGCCAAAACATCCAATCTAATCTATTCTTATTTTAATTTAAACAATGAGTACTGGATATTTTGTATATTTTAAATAGAATAAGTACACATTTAAAATTGTTTATGTATAATTTGTTTAATTTTACATACTTACTTACTAAGCTACTGTAAGTGGTAAATATTTTGACAATAAATTTAAAATATTTATATAATACAAACATAGCCTATTTTAGTAAAATCATAATTTTGGTATAAATGTTTTATTTTAAATGGGTTCTGAAACTGTTTTCTTATGGCATGTTTAATTTAAATACTATTTTATATAAGATTAAACCACAATTGATTGTAATGAGTCTAACATGTTATGTTTGACAAAAATAGTAGAAAACATGTGTTGGAACAAGAAAGGAAGTGCTAATACAACATTTAGGAAGATGGCCAGTGTCATTAGAGGTACTGCTATTGAAATACTGGGAAAATGTTTGAGAATAAGAAGACCTGGTGGTGATCTAATGAAGTTCAAGAAAAAATGAGAGAGCAAAGATTATATAAACAGTGGCAAGAAAATAGGTAGGACACAGATCTTCAAAACTATACAGTCATCAAAAAGGAAGCAAAAGTGGCAATAGCAAATGCTAAAGCGGAAGCATATAATAATCTATACCAGCTACTTACTTAATACAAGGGAAGGAGAAGCCAAGATTTATAAAATAGCTAAACATAGAGCAAAGAGAGCAAAAAATTTGAATTGGATTAGATGTATCTGAGATGAAAAAATAGTAAAATACTAATTCACGAAAATGATGTCAAAAAGAGATGGAAAAAGTACCTTGATAGATTATTAAATGAAGAATTTGACAGACAACCAGTTGACTTAATGGAGACAGTAACAGTAATGGTGGCTGAAATAACAAATGAAGATAGCTCAAACAATTCAAAAAATAAAGAAAAGAAAAGCAGTTGGACCAGATGATATTCCTGGGGAAGTGTGGAAGCATTAGGAGAGACAGGGACAAATTGGTTAACAGGTCTATTTAATAGAATTATGGAGGTTGTTCAAATGCCAGATGAGTGGAGAAGTACTGTATTAGTACCTGTCTACAAAAACAAGGGAGATGTAGAACAATGTACAAATTACAGGGCCATAAAACTACTTAGTCACACCATGACAATATGGGAGAGAGTAATTGACAGACCAATACATGAAGAAACCAAAATATCTGATAACCTCTTTGGCTTTATGCAAGGCAGATCAACAACAGATGCAATTTTCATTATAAGGCAGTTGATGGAAAAATACAGGAACAAAGAAACAAACACTAATATGGTTATTCATTTATCTTGAGAAAGCATAGAGTTCCTCAGGAGATTCTGTGGTGATCACTCAATAAGAGAGGAGCCCCCAGTGGATATGAAAAGACATCTGTGAGGGAGTAACAACTAGTGTTAGGACAGGTGTGGGAGATACTGATAAATTTCATGTGAAAGTAGGATTAGACCAAGGCTCAGTGCTTAGTCCTTATTTATTCTCATTAGTTCTGGATCAAATAACAGCGAAACAACAGAGTAATATTCTGTGGTGCCTAATGTTTGCTGGTGATGTAGTGTTAGTAGGAAATAGTGTAAGCAACTTAGAACAAAAACTAGAACAGTATAGACAAGCTTTTGAGGTAAAAGGTTTAAAACTTAGTATAACAAAGACAGAGTATTTGGAATGTTCATTTAACGATGGAGTTAGTACAATTATAATGATATATTTGGATGGTAAAATGATTGTGAAAAGTAATAGTTTTAAGTACCTAAGATTGGTGTTACAGAGTAATGGGGGAATAAAAATTGCCCGCCAACACAAATCTAAGTTCAAGAAATACATAGTTGACAAAATGGCGGAAAGGCGAAACATCACAGTCCTTAGACTTCCATCCTACCACTGCGAAATAAATCCAATTGAACTCATTTGGGCACAAATGAAAAGTTATGTGGCTAGAAAAAAT